GTATTTGCAGAGTCATGTTATACATTTCACCGCAGTTGGCAAGCCTTGGATGTACGATGCTGAGCAGTTACAGCGATTGAGACCCGATGCGCACCCTCTGTTGCTCACCCAGTGGGTAAAGTGGAGGGCAATAGCAATGAGGGAATGTCCGGCGGGCCTGGTTGATCACGTTTAAAGAGTTTTTTCCAAGGTTTTGGTTACGGCTCTTTGCTGTTCCTACACATTTCTTGTGATTATATAAAGTGCAGCAATGCAACGAATGAAACTTTTCGAGACTAGACCAGCTATTATGAGGAGCAAATCCTGTCGCTGGGCATTCTGGTAAACTTTTCAAATATAACAACTTTAGAATTGCAAAAAAAGTTTCAGGCATGGAGATTCTAGACTAGTTCTGGCATTTGTTTGCCGTCTGTAATTTTCACGTGGCGTGACAGGGAGGACCCAAATCCTGTGCCAGAGCTCTCAGAGGCTTGTGGACTGTGCAGATTTTGTGGCATATCTCCGCCATTCATCTAATCGGAGTCGGTGTCACAGTAGGTGGCGCTAGGAGGAACATGCAGATTCTGTGGCATATCCTCGCCCATCTAGTTACCGTTGGTGTGGCGCTAAACACAGCCATGGAGGTTTTGTGGCATATCTTCGTCACTCATCCAGTCACGGTCAATTGATTCGTCGCGCGCATTGACACGCGGAATAGAAAGTGAGCGGCCACCTGTATATAAATCATGCCTGTCCTACCTCGACGGTCAACTCTCTTCTCTTTTTTTCCTCTTCACGGTTGGCCTAAGCGGTTCTACCGCAGCCAGTCGTTACTGCAGCCATCCCATACGCTCTCTCATAAATCTCTTCCGCCTCCCTCACGATTTCTCTCAGCTCTTCAAATCTATCCTTCAGGGTCCGGTTCAGTTAGGTTTTTGCCTCCTTCTTTCGGTAGCGAGAGCTCTCATTTCCAGTCAAGACCCAGCGGGACACTCTGGATCCAATCTTCTTCTAAATCAAAACGAATCTCAGTTCCTCTATTATGTGGATCCACTTTGGACCGTTTCTGGAGGTGGCGGCCCGCTTCCAGAACATGAAGATGCAGCTACTGCATATTTTATCGAACCTGCTGGACAGGGTGAGGTGCTCGAGAGATATCCATGGCCCACGAACTCGGATGAAAATCATCAGCGAGGTGGCTCCCACTCGCATACGCAACAAAGCGCGATTGTGCCAAGTCTATATCAATGCCCGCACTGCCCAAAAGTTGTCACCAGCCTAAAGAAACGAACGTAAGCAGGTTCTTGATCCTTCCGCCTCTCAGGATACGCTGACACAGTCGAATAGGCAAGATATCAAGCAGCATACGCGCCCTTTCAAATGCGAGGCGGCGGGTTGCACCAAGAGCTTTGCCTTTAAAACGGCCCTTGAAAACCATGCCAATGCAATCCACGCTCATGCGCCGCATCAAATCAGATGGTTCTGCTTAGAATCGGAATGCAAGACAAAGCTGGGGGTGGAGGGTACGTCACGCAAGGACAGCAGGAATAGACATATGAAAACAGTGCATGGATGGACGGATCATGATTTTTCGCGTATGCGTAGCCAGTAGGATGCCAATTCACTCATTAACGCTGAAAGTTCCAAAACTGTGTGCGTAGTATTGCACAGGTTTCGCCTCGACGACCGTGTCACCGACCCCCGCACCCCTGTACAGCCCGGCGAGTCTCATATCAGTATAGTGCTACCTTCTCACGGGCAACGCAGTATTTTCCAGTTGCAAGCAGACTAGTCACCGGTGTGGAGTACAGCGTCAAAGCTAGAATTGCGTCTGCGCAAGCCTGCCTTCATCATTCGGTAATAGGACCGGCTGAGTCCTCATCTAACACTTTCATCCTTTTAGATGCTGGCGGCGTCAGGGCCATCTTCACCACCGATGCTTCGCCAGGAGCACGCGCCATTGCGTCGAATGCGTCTGATGATAGACTTGTAGGACTCCTGAGCCGTTCGTCGTGCTGGCGCTTGGGCCACTTAGCTTCCTGGCAGCGGCGCATAATCTCGTTGGCATCCATCGTCGAGTCCATCACACGTTCGAGTTTATGCTTCGTGTTTTCTTCAGTTTTCTCACAATTCCTGCTGTACATATGATGGTCAACTGTGCTGCTGATTCATGACCATCTGTGGTTCCTTGCGCGGCAAGTGCCAACTCGAGGCTTTGAACGATGATAAATCATAAACCGCGAAGCTTGCTGAATGGTCTCACCGAGAATCCTGCTCGAATCGCCATTCAATATGACAATGTCAAGCCGTCATACCAGAGCTTTAACTGGAGCGACCTGCCTCTACTTGCCGAGCCTATCACCTATAAAATTATATAAGGCCCTTGCGTTCGTGTTTCAACTCCCTTGCGGCTGCTCTATCCGAGACTGCAGCGTCATCGTCCTGTGTGTATCCCGACGTGTGTTAGTCCAGTTACTGAGATATTTCTCTTCACTTCGTTAATTATCAAATTTCTTCTAGAGCTTGTTACCTAAAAATATTTATGGCGTCTACCTTCCTCCGAGTGCCGTTGAAGATCGTCAAACTTCTTCTTGGCAGAAATTCTAGAATGCTGCTAGCAACTATCCCTGATTTACGTCTAGTATCAGCCGCGATCCGTCCTTCCGCCGTCGAAGACAGCCGCAATTATCTGCTCGGCACGGCGTGGACGGCGCCACACCGAGCATACTACAGAGTATGCTTGCAGTCAGATGACTGCTTGGATGCAGCCTCGCTTTGGAGATTTGCACTCTATGAAAGCCAATAGACTGGATAGTCTTCTTATTTGTTTCAAGAAAAGTCTTCAGGGCGGCATCAACAACCATCGTTTCACACATGTCAATCTGATCAAGACCAAGCGCGTGTTGAGATAGCAGTTCCAGAACCCACTCGGACCCGCGCAGACGCAAAACCTTGATGCTCTCCAGCAGCCGTCTCAGAGTCTCCGAGATAGCGGTCAAATCTGGTTCTTCCCATGTATGGAAATATGGAAGGTCAAATTCACACAAGCTGACGGTGTGAATGGCGACACCTCGCCGTCTAGCATTTTGAATGGCACACGTGACGACTTGGAGATGGTGTTGATGGTACTCTTCTTCAATAATGATGTCGTCTTTCAACAGACAATCGTCAAATTGCAGCGCATCGCAGAAGAACAGTCTCACCTCCTTCAACAGAGGAAGTGCACAGAAAACAGATGACAGAATTAGGTCAGCACCCTCATCGATGATGCTGCGTTGCTCTCTGCAAATATCGTGCACGGTTTTGTATATGGACATGTACGACGGGAAGTCATCTGCGTCGTCACCCTCGTCGTACATGTCTTTCGCCATGTCCACGTACTTGTCAGGAGTTAGGATATCAGACCTAAAACAATCGAAGTATAGTATTTCTGTTTGGTGTCATGAGAAGCGTCAGCGCGGCCCAGAGAACGCGTGCAGATACGTACCAGGCTTTAACAATTCTGGGACTTCATAGCTAAAAGACGTGACATGGCTGCGAACATTCGACTTCAAGAGACCTTTCATTCCCTCAATCCCGGCCAAAGAGAATTTGAACTTCACGCGACGAAAAATGGTCGGCAGACAAGCTTGCCTGAGCCGTTTGCTGGTGTAAGCAAGCTTTTCGATGCTCCAAGGCTCAAGGAACTCGACAACAGCGTGGATAATTTCTGTTGGCAGCCTCTCCAGCCGAGTCAGTCTGAAATTGTCGGTGCTCATGGTAGAACTTTGAACGAGCCGAATCCGTGCAGAATTCACTGTGGTAAACGAATGACAAGAGATGTCGGGTTTGCGCCTATAATTGCTCCGTTCTCAAGTGCCATTAAGAGCGAAATCAATGTCGCTTGTCTTCTCGTTGACCAAGGCGGGTGGGACTCGTTCTGGGGTTGGAGCTAGCTGATACGGACGTGCGGTATGTACATACCGGTACCAGTTCAACGAAATACAAGTCTATGAAGACAGAAACGGAGCCAATGGCCTATTTCTGAGCAAAGTGTCTTGATCGTAAGACTGCCTAATACTGCACTGCCAAAAGTTGACTTCATTACAAGAGAAGAATAGTTGGTGCTGATGCGTACATACAGTAAAGGTAACTAACATTAGCTAGCGACACCCATAACGGTTTGGTTTGGTATGCGGGAGCAGCCGTCTCTGGCGCAGGTTCGCAGACGGCACGGGGGTGGACGTGCAGAAGCTGCGGCAACACAAAAGAAAGTTTCGGCACGCCGTTCGCGCTAAAGGGAGGAAATTATGCGGGCCATGGACTGTCCGCCGTTTATGGCGCTTATGAGAGGAGAACTTCGCTGGCGCATGAGCCCACAGAAGCGGCTGTCGAGTTTGAATGCGTACCGATACCAGTACGGTACCTACTGTACCGGGTGAGGGTGCTCTCCAACGTAGCTACGGCGGACCAATTCAATCCAGAACTGGCTAGTTGCTACATCTTTTACTGCAAGGAACAGGGTACACCGCTGCCGATACCTTGTGCTTATGGATTCGGTCCATGACTGGTACATACCAGCAGGAGCAAGGTACTTGCAGGGAGTCAGAGGCTTCTCCGAGACCGCGCAGCAGCTGTCAGCATCGAGGCTCAATGCGGCTGCTCGTCCGCCGTCAAGCTTGCGTGCCAGTGCGTGCCATGTGTTGGCTGTTTAGCCACTGATGAACTTGGTTGGCGTGACACGCCTGGACGCGCCACAGGCCTGTGGCGGAGCTGATGACGTTGTAGTTGGCGTTGTGTTGGACGTCGAACTTGGTGGAGAGCTTGCCCCGCCAACGCGATTCCATGTCCATGTGTGAAAAGGGTAGGCATCTTTCCTTATACTGAAGGAAAGACCCATTTTCGTATGAAAGATACAGTTCACTACCGGCCGATTGTCTTTTTTTTTTCGGGGCTGCATTTATGAGTAGCTGACGGTTGTCCAGACAACCAGCACCTGGGGCACACCAGTTCATCACAGCCACTGAGGGTTGGGCCTCAACAAGCTGCCTGCAACACATGCAACTCACGGCGACACGACATGTCATGACCACCGCGAGACGTCACCACGAGAAATGGAGCCTTGCAAACCATTTTCTGGTGCGCGAGCCGGCCTACCGCCACCGAGACACCCCGACCAAGGCCTCGCGCCGAGCGGCACCACGACCCGCAACGAGGAGCGCGCCGTGACGCTGCGTCATCCGCGATATCCCGACGACTCCAACATCTTGCTCGTGCTGCCGGCACTTGATCCCATTCCCAGCCCGGACGGGTTTTTAGCCGAGGACAATTCTCTCGGGCTTGGTCTGCACCACGACACGGCGCGCGTTGCGTGCGGCATCATCGCCAACTGTCGCTGGGATGGATACCTTTCCGAGAGCAGGGTGGACGGCGCGCCACCGTTCACGACCGACCCAGACCATCTTTTGCCGGGGCGCAACTACTACTTTCATGTGCCGAGAGACACTGGTGATGATGAGCAGGGCACGCCGTACCCAATCGTGCCATCCTTTGCACACTTCCGGTTCCCGCACAACAAGTTGCCGCCCACGTGGACGGTTTCTGGGTTGTCCTTCCCCCCGAGCGACAACAACCCGCCGCGTAAGTTCTCTTTTGAGAATACGGTCCTCACGCGCGACGGCTCTTGCCGCCTGACGGCTTCCACGATTGGCGCCGAGATTGCCCACTTCATCCCCCGCACTGAGGACGCCTGGTTCGCCGCGAATCAAATGTTCCAGTATTCGTCACGGCCGGAGGCTGTCATCAACAACAAGACCAACAACCCGCGCAATGCCATACTGATGGGCTCCCAGCTGCACTCCGTCTACGACCAGCGCCAATTCGTCGTGCTCCCGAAATGGGGCGCGTGGCTGATCCACGTCCTCTCGGGCCGGCACGACGAGGAGCTGGCCTCCGTGTACCACAATGTCCCGCCGAAGCCACTGTCGGGCCTGGCGGTCGAGTACATCTTTGCACGATTCGCATGGACGGTGCTCGCGCAGACGAGCTTTCTTGAGGCGGGTGTGCCCCGACTTGTCGTGGTGCGTGGCAAGGACGGGCTGCCAACGGCGCGCGAGGTGTCGGGACAAGACTGCCGCACCATGTTCACGCCGAGCCTGCCCAGGTCCAAGAGCCGTAGTCAGAGCCCGAAGAAACGCGTGCGGGATGACACGGCCGAGGATGAAGAGGAGGATTACGGTCGCGTGAGAGACGACGATCCCGAGTGGAATACGCGGGGACGGCCCAGGAAGAGGGCAGCCTACGAACCGTCCACGAAATCGGCGGCGTCTAATTTGAACTGCTGGACTGGTAATTGTAACGCAGTGTGCTTAGCAAACAAATGAAGCCAGGATTACAGCTACAGTACATAGCATTGCATTCCATTGTATTTTTATTGCGCCCGGTGGCTGTGCAGCTAATAGGGCTCGCTAACTAAGTTACTGGTACCTATCCGAAATAAGTCTTTGCCTCCTGCGTGCTCATAAGCGATTATCCTCTCATGCTTGTTTCTATCCTCATTTCTCCCTGGTAGCACGGATTCTCTTGCGATGCGCGTATTATCTAGCGTGAACTTTCCCTTGGGTTCGGTACAGCCCTATTCAGGTTCAGCATCCATTGATTGCTACTTAAGAACAATCCAAATTAGGCCGGTGAAGCAGCTGCTGTTAGCCCATCTTAGTAGAATCAGGGCGCTAACTAATCAAAGTTACTAATAGTATAATCAATTTACGGACGCTGAACTTGGACTTCCCGGTACAGTATTGATATACACCGGAGTGTCGGCGGCAGCCGTATCCCTAGCGTGGCTTCTCCCCACCAGCTGCTCCACCATTAATCAGTGTCTGGTAACGGCTCAGGAAGCGTATAAGAGTCAAATTCAGATGGAGGTTTTATCAAGAGTAAGAGACTGACACAAGGATTATTCTTCAAGCTGCACTGTGCAGTCTGTACAAGAATAATCGGCATGTCAACTTTCTGCTTCGATAAATGCGTCCTTCTTCGACTCCTATGATTTTTTGAGCCGTTACGGGGGCCGGGTCGAGCAAATGGCGGCAAGAGGCGGCTACTTTGCCCCCATGCTTTCTGTGATGTCTCCGTGCCAAAAACAAGGTGGCGTAAGCTTGGTCGGGTGTCGGCGAAGGAGCTCTGGCTCGGGCAATCTGCTGGTGGTTGCCATCCGCACTTGCTGAAAGTTAAACCTCTTCAGCGTAGTATGCGATCAAATTCCCCCCCGCCCCCTCCCGGGCTCTCACATGCGGCTACGATCGGCCAAAGGGCTCTTGCTTTAATAGTACCACGTGGCGTGCTTAAGTTGGGAGTTTCGAGCTTGCACTGTGAACCTCTCTCTCTATCATGTGCACCAGGAGTCCTACGCTATGGAGCAAAGGCCCTTTGCCCCTGCCTGAATGAGGCGACACGGTAACCATTGCGCAGACAGCAGGCATCTACTCCTGGGCGAGATATCTTTGTCATATTGTGCCTTCGGCATGTTGACTAGTAACTAAAATGAGTCAGACGAGGTCCTGATGCGATTGGGGACCGCACTGCATAGCAAGCAAGCGAGTAGCCTCCTCAAAATCTCCCGAAATGCGCGGGTTGTCGTTTCCTAGATGGCATGCGATATTGTTTCTATCAGGTCCGTAGCTACCGCAGTGTGATGAGGCAGATGGCACTGAAATCGCAATTCTCTCTCGCTAGTCCCAAAAGGGAAGATGATCCACTGCCGCCAGCTTCGGATGCCTATGGAGAACGCTGGGTTGATTGTCACTCAGAATAACAAGCATGGACGCATTAAATGTCTAGCGGTGCGAAAGATCGAAAAATTTGACGCGGCATCCTGAACCCGATGAACATGATCCCGGAATGCTCCGGCTGCAACCTAGGGTAGACAGCGTCCGCTGCTCCGAAGCCTGGCGCAAAGCCAGCGTGCACGCCAGGCTAACCAGTATGGCGGCTCCATTATGTAGCCAATAGGTTACCGATGCCAGAGACAAATTCTATATATTGTACAGTATGAGCATTCAGAAAACATGAATTATATTCTGAGGGTTCTGTTTGTCGCACTATAGCATTCATGCAATTTATTCTAACCGTCCGTTTGCTCTGAAGCAGGCTTCGATACGTCAAGGGGAGTCGCGGACTCATATTTCACGCATATGTCCAGTGAGCCGTTGAGCAGCGCTTTATCGTCTCATCGCTCATCCGGCGTCGGTAGGTGCGTCTGGAGCGAACCTCAACGAGAGTCTGCCACCAGAACAATATCAGCGAGTAGCGGTCAGACTTCGACCGCGGCCATGAAGCGGTTAACATAGGGGTGCTGACTAGCTAGTTCTGACTCCACCAACCAACCCTCCTGCCTGCTACAAGGCCATCAGTGAAAGTTAATTTTAACTCAAGTCGACACGCATTATCCCATTCACCTCCATGACGTAAATATTGATATCTTCACATTTTACGCGACATCGTTTACTTCTGTGAAGGCATTATAGTCAGCAGCTCACGGAGGCGCCAGGGCGTTATGGAGAACATTGCCCATACTTTTTCTTCCATCATTGGTGACCTCATTCAAACTGAAAGTAAACACTAGCCGCTGGCAAGGTTCACAACAGGAGACCAAGTATGTTTTTGTTGTTCTATTGTTTATTCAGAAGAACACAAATCTTAACGTTAAATTTCTTTTTTACTTCAGCAATCAGGGTTTCTGCTACGTCCAAGAGAGCAATCATCTCAGCCGCTTGTACGCTCGCCACTTTAACGGCATACACGGTTACCCTATACCACACCTGGCTGTACAACAATTACTCGCGCG